CCTGGCACCTCTAATCTTGAATTAAGAAATAATTTGCCCTGTAATCCTAGCTACTCAGGAGGCTGAGATCTGAGTATCGTGGTTCAAAGCCAGCCCAGGCAGGAAAGTCCATGAGACCCTTATCTCCAATTAACCACTTGAAAACCAGAAGTGGTGCTGTGGTTCAAGCAGTAGATCCTCAGATCTCAGCTGCCTGAGTAGCTAGGATTACAGGGGTGAGCCACTGGCACCTGGCCCATTTCACTTTTTTTTTTACCACGACACTATATCACAGTCTGATATACTATGTATTTATAAGTCATGTTGTTTTCTGTCACACTGGACATATGCTCCACAAGGGTAAAGATACTTCAATAAATTTTTGTTGAATGGATGAATGACATTTGGAAGGAAATGTTCTTCATATATGTGTTCAATATCTCAATAAATTTTTGTTGAATGGATGAATGACATTGGGAAGGAAATATTCATATAAATGTTGGTGAAAATTTGTGAATTTCCATTGTGGTAAGAATATTTAACAATCTGTTCAGGATGAACACTGTTAATTAGAGTAGTTGTCTATGGTACCCACAGACAGGTTGTATAGGTATATTTATGCTTTGCGTGGCTCGTTCTTAAATCTTACACTGTTAACGTTTTTATGCAGGGTCTCACTATGGATCTCAGGTTGCCCTTAAACTCACAATACTCCTGCCTCAGGCTTCTAAGTGCTGGGATTACAGGTATGTGTACCCTACTGTACCCAGCTTTAATTTTTTTATATTAAAAAAATACAACAGGCTGGGCTGGGAAGGTGGCTCAGTGGTAGAACGCTTGCCTTGCATGCCTGAGGCCCTGGGTTCGATTCCTCAGCACCACATAAGCAAAAAGAAAAAAAAAATACTACAGGCAATTTTTTTAAATAACCGTGACCCATATGTGTGACATGTCAAAAAGGCAAATATGTATGGAGCTGTTAAAAATTCACTAAATCTTAATATTTCGTAACTAAAACTGATTCAATTTAAAACAAAACTTTCAGGAGCTAAAGAGTATACGTTCACTTATTTATTTACCTCTCTACTTTAGCTGACATGTTCTGGAGAGCCAATTCCAGTGTTTCTGACCTTGTGCTTCATAAGGTAAAGCCTAATATATATCCCTAGACAGAGAATATAACTCTACCAGTCAGTACTGCTCAACTCTAATTATGAGCTTTCAAACACAGATTTTAGACATACCACATTCACTAGCTGAGCCTCCCACCAACTGGAAGAACTGCTGGGCAATCTTCATATGATCCCTCTGAAAAATCAAACAGAACTGAGACACAGATCAGGTAAAATAGTTTATTTATATTGTATTCTATGGCTATAATATATTTGCCATGATGCCATCTGAAATATATCATATATATGATATATGATATGATATATATACACATCCTGTTTTAAATTATGCTAGAAAATAGTACTAATTCTCATTAATGTAAGCAACTAGAATAGAAAACAATAACCTGAAATGAAATTAAAAAACTTATACTAGATCAATAGAATAGGTCAATATATAAAGAGATCTAAATCCCCAATTCTATCCTGAAAGTACCTACATTAAATGAATCTATTATCTATCTATCTATCTATCTATCTATCTATCTATCTATCTATCTATCTATCTATCTATCTATCTATCTATCTATCTATTGCCCAGTCCTGGGGCTTGAACTCAAGCCTGCCTGAGTTCCCTGTTCCTTGGGCTCTGTCCCTGAGCCTCTCTGTGCTAAAGGTTAGCACTCTACCACTTGAGCCACAATGCTACTTCCGGCTTTTTTGAGTAGTTTATTGTTGATAAGAGTCTCATAAACTTTCCTGTTTTGAACCACAATCCTCAGATCTCAGCCTCCTGAGTATTTAGGATTACAGGCATCAGCCACTAGTGTCCGGCTATGAATTCATTCAACAAATCTTTAATGTGCCTCTGCTATACATCTGACCTTGGTGTAGAAGCTGTGGCAATAACAAGAAGTCCTTAAGAACTCATTTACTTATGTAGCACTTACGACTGAGCTACTATAAAAGGTGGTATAGAGAGAACTTGAGATTAAAAAAAAAAAAATCTTCATTTTGCCATGAGCAGGTAAACTGAATAAGGGTAATGCTCTGAATGCAAGCTCCATTACCAGCAAAAATTCAAAAAAAATATATATCCCATTTTATTTCATAATAAACTTGGCCTGAATAAGAGCCTAATTTTCCAGTGTTTTGGCATTTATTAAAAAGCTATCCTGGGCTGGGAATGTGGCTTGATGGTAGAGTGCTTGCCTAGCATGCATGAAGCCCTGGGTTTCATTCCTCAGTACCACATACACAGAAAACGCCGGAAGTAGCACTGTGGTTCAAGTGATAGTGCTAGCCTTGAGCAACAGTAGCTTAGGGACAGTGCCCAGGCCCTGACTTCAAGCTCCAGGATTGGCAAAAACAAATTTTTTATTTAAATTTAAAAAAAAATAAAAAAGCTATTCTAGCCAGGTGCTGATAGCTCATGCCTGTAATCCTAGCTACTCAGGAAGTTGAGGTCTGAGGATGGTGATTTGAAGCTAGCCTGGGAAAGGATGTGAGACTCTTACTTCAAATTAATTACAGAAAAAGCTAGAAGTAGCTCTGTCACTCAAGTTGTAGGGTGCTAGCTTTGGGCAAAAAGGAGCTCAGGGAGAGTGCCTAAGCCTAGAGTTCGAGCCCCAGAACCAGGGGGAAAAAAAAAATTTCCTAGAGGAGATAAGAAAAAAGTTCAGTGGTAGAATGCATGTAAGGTTCTGAGTTGTCTCCTGGACCTTAGGAAATAATATGTAAATTTTAAAAGCTTCCTTAAAGAAACAATTTTCAATGTTCCCTATATTACAGATGCCAAAACTATAGGTCAGAGATGTAAAGGGTTTTTGTTTTAGTTTTTTTTTTTTTTGTCAGTCATGGGGCTTCAACTCTGGGCTTGGGGGCTGTCCCTGCACTCTTCAGCTCAAGGCGAGCACTCTATCACTTGAGCCACAGCGCCACTTGTGGTCTTCTAGTGGTTTATTCGAGATAAGAGTCTCATGGACTTTCCTGCCCGGGCTTGGCTAAGAACCGTGATCCTCAGATCTCAGCCTCCTGAGTAGCTAAGATTACAGGCATGAGCCACCAGCGCCCGGCTTTGTTTCAGTTTTTTGTACAAGGGTTTTTAAGTCACAGAAAATAGAATAAATAGCAGTGATCTTTTGGATTGCTATGAAATATAAGCCCTTTATGAAAATAGGGCTCTTTTAAAACAAACTAGCAAGTTGGCTTTTTTGTTTCGTTTTTTTGTTTTGGGGGTTTTTTGTTTTTTGTTTTTTTGCCAGTCCTGGGGCTTAAACTCAGGACCTTGGCACTCTACCACTTGAGCCACAACACTACTTTCCAGCCTTTTCTGTTTATGTGGTACTGAGGAATCAAATTCAGAACTTCATGCTAGGCAAGTACCCTACCACTAAGCCACATTCCCAAACCAGCTAAAGTTAAAGCTTTTTGTTGTTGTTGTTGTGTTTCTGAATAACAATGTTGTTTATATGGAATCTGGACTAAGGGATTTGGAGAAATAGCAAGACTGGAGAAGAGCCTATTTGTTGGCAAGGCTGTTACTGGCTGCCTGTGGTATCCATTTACATCTTTTCACACATCTCAGTTTTTGGAGTTAGTACCAATGGAAGTTAGTGATTCCATACTCACTGAACCCATTTCCTGGCCAAGTGCTGCATTCACCACTCCTTTAAGGATATACTCCTGGAAACATACAATAAAACTGATTAATTTAACAGGGAGATGAAAGTATGTAATGTCATCCTTGTTAGCCCTTTGCAGCAAATCAGAATTTCTTATATGGGGTTATTCAGTGTTCTACCTCTGGCTTATAGTCAATTTCTAGAGGCAAATGTCCACATAACAGAATTCATTGTCGGTTGGGAAGGTGGCTCAGTGGTAGAGCATTTGCCTTGCATACATGAGGCCCTGGGTTCAATTCCTCAGCACCACATAAGCAAAAAGAAAAAAGCCGGAAGTGGCGCTATGGCTCAAGTGGTAGAGTGCTGGCCTTGAGCTGAAGAGCTGAGGGACAGCGCCCAGGCCCAGAGTTCAGGCCCCATGACCGGACCCAAAAAAAAAAAAAAAAAAGAATTCATCATATCTGCAAATTCTCAATCTTAAGAAGGACTCAGTGGAAGCACTGAGAAATAAGTTTTACTTCAACTCAGGGTGGAAAAAACAGTCAAGCTTTTTTGTTTTTGTTTTTTTCGGTCTGGTCGTGGGGCCTGAACTCTGGGCCTGGGCGCTGTCCCTCAGCTCTTCAGCTCAAGGCTAGCGCTCTACCACTTGAGCCACAGCGCCACTTCCGGCTTTTGTTCTTTTTGGTTATGTGGTGCTGAGGAATCGAACCCAGGGCCTCATGCATGCAAGGCAAGCTCTCCACCACTGAGCCACCTTCCCAGCCCTCTAGTCAAGCTTTTTCATGATCATTTCTATTACCTTACCAGCTACTATTACTTTTCTTCTTTCTTTCTTTCTTTTTTTTTTTTTTTGTCAGTTGTGGCCCTGGGCACTGTCCCTGAGCTCTTTAGCTCAAGGCTAGCACTCTACCACATGAGGTTTTCTCTGCTTATGTGGTGCTGAGGAATCAAACCTAGGGCCTCATGCATGCAAGGCAAGCACTCTACCACTGAGCCACCTTCCCAGCCCTATTACTACTTTCTATAAACATATCATATCTATGTATATATACATACTTGTGTATTATATAAAAATAAAAATATATAATATATAAATATATGCATAAACATGTATATTTCCAGTGCTATAATAACCTTCACTATTGAGCCTTTTCCTCAAAAACAAAACAAAAAAAATGCCTTCTGATTCCCACTTCTCTTCTAGAGTCCAAAGGGCTCGTCTGCATCTTCTTCCCCCTGACATGGTTCAATTTTTTTAGTAGATAACTTCCCTTAGTAGTTTTATCCATTTTTTTTTTCCAGAGCTGAGGACCGAACCCAGGGCCTTGTGTGCACTGGGTGGGCACCCTTCCGTTGGGCTAAACCCCCAGCCCCAGTTTTATCCATTTTTATTTATGGGAGTTCGTTAAAAGAACAACACTAAAACTGCTGGTGCTTTTTTTTTAAATAGAGAGTGATTTTAAAATATTTGTGCTAGTCCTGGAGCTTGAACTCAGAGCTGGGGTGCTGTCCCTGAGCTTCTTTTGCTCAAGTCACAGCTCCACATCCTGCTTTTTGATAATTTTACTGAAGATAGGAGTCTCATGGACTTTCTGCCCAGGCTGGCTTGAAACTATCCTCAGATCTCAGCCTCCTGAGTAGCTGTGAGCTCTTGGTGCCCAGCTTAAAATATTTTTGATTGATATACAGTATTTGTATATATTAAGAGATGCAAAGTCCTGTTTTGACTTGTGTAAATATGGGGCAGGGATCAAGGCAGGATAAAGAGCATTTTTGGGGGGGGGAGGGGGAGTCTGGTCGTGGGGCCTGAACTCTGGGCCTGGGCGCTGTCCCTCAGCTCTTCAGCTCAAGGCTAGCACTCTACCACTTGAGCCACAGCGCCACTTCTGGCTTTTTCTTTTTGCTTATGTGGTGCTGAGGAATTGAACCCAGGGCCTCATGCATGCAAGGCAAGCGCTCTACCACTAAGCCACCTTCCCATCCCTGGTAAAGAGCATTTCTATAACATGAAACTGCTATCTTGTCTCAGTTTTGGCCTGGGCTAGTTTCAAATGATTCTTTTGATCTTGGCCTTCCAGATAGCTAGGAGTATAGGCATGAACAACCACACTTCAACCCTTTTTGAGGGACCAAATACATATAAAGAAGTTTAGCTACATCAAAAAGCCTGTAACAGCCAGGTGCCAGGGCTTACCCCTCTAATCCTAGCTACTCAGGAGGCTGAGATCTGAGGATTGTGGTTCAAAGCCAGCCTAGGCAGTAAAGTCCCTGAGACTATCTCCAGTAAACCACTTAGAAAATGGGAAGTAGCACTGTGGCTTAAGTGGTAAAGCCCTAGCCTTGAGCCGAAGAGCTGAGGGACAGCACCCAGGCCCTGAGTTCAAATCTAGGATTACCAACAACAAAAAGCTAGATTATAGGCATAGTTGAAGTGGTAAGAGTACTAGTTGAATGAGCAAGCCAAGTAAGCATGAGGCCCTGAATTCAAACGCTGGTACTGATACAGTTCAAGCTCCACGACCAACAAAAACAAATGCAAAAAGCCTGTCACTTTTTTTTTGCCAGTCCTGGTGCTTGAACTCAGGGCCTAAGTACTGTCCCTGAGCTTCTTTTGCTCAAGCCAGCACTCTACCACTTGAGCCACAGCACCACTTCCAGCTTTTTCTCTTTATGTGGTACTGAGGAATCAAACCCACGACTTCATGAATGCTAAGCAAGCACTTTACCACTATACCACATTCCCAGCCTGCCTGTAACATTCTTCTATCAAAAGTCTCACATTTTCCTAGGCCATAGAGGATCAAGGTTCAAAGCCAACATAGGTAGAAAAGTCTGTGAGGCTTCATCTCCAAGTAACTAGCAGAATGCCAGAATGAACTCATGACTCAAGTGGCAGAGCACCTGATGTGAACAAGAAAGCTTAAAGCCCTGAGTTCAAGTCCTAGTATTAGCATACATACACACACAAAGTCCTAGGTTAATATATGTGGTCTTTCCTAGGACTCTACAAGCCAGAATATTCTCTAGCTACATGTCTGAAGTTCTACTTTCTACATTACTGGTTCAGTAAAAATGTAGTTTCAACTGGGCTCATGCCTGTAATACTAGCTACTCAGGAGGCTGAGATCTGAGGATCACGGTTCAAAGCCAGCCCAGGTAGGAAAGTCCATGAAACTCTTATCTCCAGTTAACCACCAGAAAACCAGAAGTGGCACGGTGGCTCAAAGTGGTAGAGCACTAGCCTTGAGCTGAAAAGCTCAGGGATAGCACCCAGGCCCAGAGTTTAAGCCCCATGTCGACCAAAAAAAAAAAAAAAGGTACAGCTCTAGTTACCTGTGGCGTAGTAGGTTCCAGATCCTTAATTAAGTTATAAGCTTCCTGTACATCATCTGAAATATAAAATATGGGTAGTTATGCTAATCTATATGCCTGAAGCCATCCCAAGAAAAAGGAACAACTACCAGCAAAGGGTAAGAAAAACAATGGAAAATGAGTAGAAAGAAAAGGCAGAGAGGACAGTAGGATAAGGGCAAAATCAAAAACAAGAGAGAAAAGGTGGGCGGCAGAAGAAGAGAGAGAAGATAAGAGAAAGTACACAACAGGTAAGCACTACTAAATCAGTTTTGTCTTATGAAGTTGGTACAGATAGATCTTAGGAAGAATTATGAATTTAACACATACAACAAATAGTTCAATTAAATATTCTAAAATATGTTGCTATAAGAAAGAACAAGATAAATTTTTCTAACCTTGACGAAGATAGTAAATCACTAGGTTTAGCCTGGCTTCGGGAATCACGTCAACCAGAGGAGGTAAGACTTGCAAGGCCCCTTCACCTCCTCGGAAAACCACCTAGACATTGAGAAATTGTGTTACTGCTGCCATATGTAGGTACAATGTGTTAGTGGAAATGTTAATCATGAACTGGGTTCAGTTACCATAGTTCTGGGTCAGTTAACATACTGGGAACTTCTACTGTTGGTTAAATTTAGTATTACCTTAAGTGATCCCATGCTTTTTATCCCCTTCTTTTCCTTCCCTTGATCCTTCTAATCATCCTATGTTAACTTACTTCCACTGTGGCTAAAACCTATCTCTATCATCATTGTCTTCTTTCCCTTCTTCATCCATAGTACTGCATCTTTCACTCATAGTACTGCATCATTCATACACCGCATCTGTTTTTTGTTGTTTTTTTTTTTTTTACCAGTCCTGAGGCTTGAACTCAGGGCCTGGGCACTATATCTGAGCTTCTTTTGCTCAAGGCTAGCACTCTACCACTTGAGCTAAAGCGCCACTTCCAGGTTTTTCTGTTTAATGGTACTGAGGAATTGAACCCAGGGCTTCATGCATGCTAGGCAAGCACTCTACCACTAAGCCACATTCTCAGTCATACACTGCATCTTATCATATAGTTTTTCATTGGTGTTTGTTGCACCCAGCCCCAAGAACTGTGGCTGATGTTGTCATCATGTTTATTTCTAAGAGAATATGTTTTTGAAACTATTTGCAAATGACCCTGACCTTATGGAAGGAAAACTATTGATTACATTATGGCAAGAAATAGAATAAAGTAGGACTTTTCTTCTTTGTTCTTGGGTGTTTTTGCCTCCAGCAAAGCCTAAGGCTTGATGTACAGATTTCATTTTCTCCTCTTAAGAATGCAGAAAATAGCCAGATGCCAGTGGCTTATGCCTGTCATCCTAGCTACTCAGGAGGCTGAGATCTGAGGATCACAGTTCAAAGCCAGCCCCGGCAGAAAAGCCATGAGATTCTTATCTCCAATAAACCACTAGAAAACCACAAGTGGCACTGTGGCTCAAGCAGTAGAGCACTCGCCTTGAACTGAAGAGCCCAGGGACAGCGCCCAAGCCCAAAGTTCAAGCCCCACAACTGACCCCCCTCCAAAAAAAAAAAGAATGCAGAAAATCTTTCTTGATTTTGTTTTCACCCTGCCCTGCTTTTTAAGATGTGTTTGTCTATATTGGTGCTATGGATCAAATCTAGAGTCTCATGTATGTTGAGTATGCATACTATCTAACAACAATCTATAACCTCATCCCAGAAAACAAATAAAATAGCTGATAATTAATACAATTTCTTTCTATCTAGACATTCTACATCAAAAAATCCATGATAAACTGGGTGCTGGTGGCTCATGCCTATAATCCTAGCTAATGAGGAGGCTGAGATCTGAGGATCGCAATTCAAAGCCAGACCAGGCAAGAAAGTCCATGAAACTCTTATCTCCAATTAACCACCAAAAAACCGGACGTGGCACTGTGGCTCAAGTGGTAGAGCACTCACCTTGAGCTGAAGAACTCAGGGACAGCGCCCGGGCCCAGAGTTCAAGCCCCATGACTGACAAAAGCAAACAAACTCCATGATGACTTGGTTTCCAGCATCACAAAAGCAACAATGGAAGATGAAATTTATATATAAGCTTTCTGAGCCTCTTATAGCTTTCCTCCATCTCTACCTTTCAGAGTTATTCTGAGGATTAAATGAGTTGAAGTGGGCTAAATGGGTAGCACATGGTAGGTAATATTTAATTCAGTAAATACTCAGTGGCATCTACATGCCTGTTCTTAATAAGCACTTGTTTCAGCAGAAATATGTCACTTCCATATTAACTATACAAGTATGGAGGAGGTGCCCTTCAAAGAATGAATGAATGAGTATGTCATCAGATGATCATGAGTGCCACAAAGAAAAACTTCAAAAACAGTAATAAACACACACACACACACACACACACACACACACACACAAAGTTTCACAACCAAGTCTACTGACCCAGTTGAGTATATATTGTTTCACATACATGATGAAAATCTCTGGTGTGAGCCACACAATCTCGTTTCTTAGAACAACTATTTTGCTTATCTTTTTTTGTTCCTCTGCAATGTCCCCTCTCTTGTTAAGGATAATTCCTCCACCTATCTTCCTGATCCCGCCACTTCTACCCCCATCTAGACTTTGTTTCCCCATTAGTCATCCTTGTCCTCAAACTTCCCAGAACACTGGCCCAACTTCTCCACTTTAAACACACAGGATTTTGTTCTCTTCAACACTCTTCCACTTGGTTGCATTGTTGTCTCTGGATAGTGCCCTGTTTTTCTACTTCAAAAGTATGTTGCTTATTGCTTCTAAGTCATATTTGCCCTCTTATTCTTGACAACCCCAGACTGGTTTTTGTTCCCAGTACACTAATAAACTTAGTCTCCCAAGTCACAAATTAACCCTTTTAACTAAACCAAAGGACGTTTCCTTCTGTTTTCTCCACATGTTTGCAGTTTCCATAGAAACTGAGCTACAGGATGACAATTACAGCCCCATTTTCTACATGCTTCCCACAGGTTGAGAATCACTAATCCAAAGGTCCAAAATCTGAATTTTTGAGTACTGACATGATGCCACAGTGGAAAATTCCACACATGACAGGATGTAGTCAAACTGCAGGCTCATGTCAGGAATGGTGGCACTTGCCTATAATCCCAGCACTCACAGGCCGAGGCAGATGGATCTGGAATTTGAGGTCAACATGGGCTATGTAACAAGACCTTGTTTAACAAGTAAAAAGAAGCCGGGCGCTGGTGGCTCATGCCTGTAATACTAGCTCCTCAGGAAGCTGAGATCTGAGGATCACAATTCAAAGCCAGCCCGGGCAGGAAAGTCCATGAAACTCTTATCTCCAATAAACCACTAGAAAACTGGAAGTGGCGCTGTGGCTCAAGCAGTAGAGAGCTCGCCTTGAGCTGAAGAGCACAGGAACAGTGCCCAAGCCCAGAGTTCAAGCCCCACAACTGGAAAAAAAAAAAAAAAGTAAAAAGAAAAAAAAGGGAGGCAGGCTGGGAAGGTGGCTCAGTGGTAGAGTGCTTGCCCTGCATGCCTGAGGCCCTGGGTTTGATTCCTCAGCACCATATAAGCAAAAAGAAAAAAGCTGGAAGTGGCACTGTGGCTCAAGTGGTACACGCTAGCCTTGAGCTGAAGAGCTGAGGGACAGTGCCCAGGTCCAGAGTTCAGGCCCCACAACCGGACCCCCCCCCCAAAAAAAAGCTAGGTGTTCTACTTTTCTCCATTCTACATATGAGATCGCTCAAACCAAGCAATGTCAAGTCACTTCCTTGAAGTTACAAAGCCTTATATCTTGTGTAGTATGATTTTAACTGCAAGTTTGTCTTCAACAATTGATATTCTTAACCATTTATACTGCTGCCACATTTTTTCAGGCTTTTATCAGTTGTGGGGCTTGAACTCAGGATCTGGGTGCTGTCCCTGAGCCTCTTTGTGCTCAAAGTTAGTGCTCTACCACTTAAGCCACAGTACCACTTCTGGCTTTTAAGCAGTTAACTGGAAGAGTTTCACTGGGACTTTTCTGCCCAGTTGGGCTTCAAATTGCAATCCTCTGATCTCAGCCTCTTGAATAGCTAGCATTACAGGTGTGAGCCACTGGCACCTGGCTATTTTTCAGGCTTTTTAAAAAATTATATATGAGGGGCTGGGAAGGTGGCTCAGTGGTAGAGTACTTGCCTTGCATGCATGAGACCCTGGGTTTGATTCCTCAGTACCACATAAGAAAAAGCCAGAAATGGCACTGTGCCTCAAGTGGTAGAGTGCTAGCCTTGAGTTGAAGAACTGAAGGACAGCGCCCAGGCCCACGGCCAGCAAAAAATAAATAAATAAATACACACACACACACACACACACACACACACACACACACACACACGAGCAATGTGTTCATTTAGGGGAAAAAAAATCTTATATACAGCATTTCAAATTGAGAAAGAAAAAATTCCATATTCTTATCTAATTCCACTTTCCTAAGATAATTTCTATTTACTTAATTGCTGATATGTCTCTTCCAGTCATCTGCACAGATAGTATTTCTTTACCTTGAGCTGGATATTATATTCACCTGGGAAGCTTTTAAAAAATTGGACCTGGGCCCCAACTCAAGCATTAAATAAAAATGGTGGTGGACACCACAGTCACCTCCTTGAGAGGCTGAGGCAGGAGGATTGCTTGAGCAAAGGATTTCTAGGCCAGCCTGGGCAACATGGAGAGATCCTGCCACCCCTCCCGCTGGGAGACTGATATTTTAAATTCACTTTCTCTCTCCTAGAGTAAGGAGGCATTCCTGTGGAGAAAAGCAGCATTTGCTGAGGCATTTCCTTTCATTCCGCATTCTAATTGCTATGATGTACCCAAGTAGACTTAGGACTGAAGCCAGGAAATAGTTATTCACCAGGTTGTGCCGGATGAGTTCTTTAGCAAATTCAAAGGGTGATGAAGCATTGTCCATCAAGCTTTTGAGTTCTGCCTGCAATACAAAAAGGAAAGACTGATGAAAGTAACAGAGGTGTAGCTTTTGTTTTTGGTTTTTTCTTTGTGCTGGTGCTGGGACTTTAACTCAGGACCTGGGCACTGTCTCTGAACACTTGATCGACCTCTTCACTTCCAGCTTTTTGTGGTTAATTGGATATAAGGAGTGTCACAGACTTTCCTCCCTGGGCTGGCTTTGAACTGCAATCCTCAGATCTCAGCCTCCTGAGTAGCTAGGATTATAGACATGCACCACAAGCATCCAGTCCAAAGTGTAATTCTTTTTTCTTTGTCTGTCCTGGGGCTTGAACTCAGGGCCTGGGCACTCTCCCTGAGCTTCATTTGCTCAAAGCCAGCACTCTACCACTTGAACCATAGCACCACTTCCAGCTTTTTCTGTTTATGTGGTACTAAGGATTCAAACCTCATGCAGGCAAACATTCTACCACTGAACCACATTCCCAGCTCCCAGAGGTATAATTCTTAACTCACATGTTTTACAAAATGCTTTCTAGTTTATAAAGACTAATAGTTACTCTCATTTAGCCTCATGACTCTAAGTCAATGTACTTGTTATTGCCCATACTTTAACAAATGAATATAATGGTTTGGTGTCTTAAGCTTATACTTAGGTAACAAGTTTGTAAACAAGTGCACTCAAGCCTGAGGACTCCTCAAGAGGATCTTCATTTTCAGTGACAAGTGTTTAGGAGAAGCCAAGTGCTGGTGGCTCATACTTGTAATCCTTGCAGCTCAGGAGGCGGAGATCAGAGGACCAAAGTTCGGAGCCAGCAAAAAGAAGTGAAGCTGGCTGAGAGTGTGGCTTAGAGGTAGAGTGCTTGCCTAGCATGCATGAAGCCCTGGGTTCAATTCCTCAGTACTCACATAAATAGAAAACACTGGAAGTGGGGCTGGGAAGGTGGCTCAGTGGTAGAGCGCTTGCCTTGCATGCATGAGGCCCTGGATTCGATTCCTCAGCACCACATAAGCAGAAAAAAAAAATCCGGAAGTGGCGCTGGGGCTCAAGTGGTAGAGTGCTAGCCTTGAGCTGAAGAGCTGAGGGACAGCGCCCAGGCCTAGAGTTCAGGCCCCATGACTGGACCCAAAAAAAAAGAAAAAGAAAAAGAAAACACTGGAAGTGGTGCTAAGACTCAGGTGGTAGAGTGTTAGCCTTGAGAGGAAGAAGCTCAGGGGCAGCTCCCAGGCTCAAACCACAGAACTGGAGGAAAAAAAAAAAAGAAGTGAACCTGTAGCTCAAATGGTAGAGTGCCAGCCTTGAGCAATAAAAGCCACTTAAGTGAGGGGCTGGGAAGGTGGCTCAGTGGTAGAGCGCTTGCCTTGCATGCATGAGGCCCTGGGTTCGATTCCTCAGCACCACATAAGCAAAAAAGAAAAAAAAAGGCTGGAAGTGGCACTGTGGCTCAAGTGGTAGAGCGCTAGCCTTGAGCTGAAGAGCTGAGGGACAGCGCCCAGGCCCAGAGTTCAGGCCCCACGACCGAACTATAAAAAAAAAAAAAGCCACTTAAGTGAGTGTGTGCTGAGTTCAAGCCCCAGTACACAGACACACACAGAGACACAGACACACACAGTGTTTAGGAGGTGAGCCTTTAATGAGGCTGATTCTTCAACTTCATTTAAATCACACTACTCAAGTATTAGAATGCACTAGGTCCATTGTGTCTCTTCTGCATTCTCTTTCCCCATTAACTCACCTTAAAACAAAAAGTCATCATCTCCAAAAGTGTATTCACTGAGGCTTGAGGCGCTCTATCCCCTTCCCCGACTTTCCATTCTTCCGACCCTGCCAAGTCATGCTTCTGAGTAATCTTCCTCTCATTTTTTTCTGTCTCCACCAGTGAGTCACTAAGCTTTCTAGATAAAATCATAGCGTTCTTGATTGTTCTCTCTGTGTCCCCCACGCTCATTCTGCCTGATCTCAGCTGGGAGCTCACGTCTGCTCAGCAATCCTTTTATTCATTTCTTGTCCACAGCAGCAGTTCTCTCATTTTGGGTAATGCTAAGCTGGCTCAGCAGTTTTCAAGTTTTTTGGACTCAAGATCCCTTTTATACTCTTAAATTATAAGGATCTCAAAGATTTTTATTGAAAAACTAGATTAACCCACAAAAATTTACTGAGAAGAGTGGCTGTTGGACATTTCTCACAAGCCTCTACAAAGTCTGGCTTATTAGAGGACAGCCAAATGGGCTGGGCAGATACTCAGGATGACCAATGAGATGCCAGGCCAAAAGTGACTGAGATGCTTGTAAGCATTATGCTCACCTTTGGTCCTCAGGCTCCACCCAGACCTGAGCCCCTCCCATCCCTGGAGTTGCTGCCATACAACTGGCCCCTCCCTCTCTCCATCCAGATCCACTTGGGCTTCCATCTACCTCACTTCCTAACTCTCAGACCCTGCTGCTACCCAGAGAGTGAAAGGCCCTGGGTCCCAGATCACATTTTTTTCCCCCTACTACTTGGGATTGAACCCAGGGCCTCACACTTTCGGAGAGAAAATGTCTTATCATTTGAATCACACCCTCCAGACTCATTGTTTTATTCTGTTTTTGAGATAAGGTCTCAATAACTTTGTGCTGGACTTGAGCTCATAATTCTCCTATCTCCAACTCCTAAGTAGCTGGGATTATAGGTATGTACTACCACACCTGGCTCCAGATCATATTTTGATAATCATTGGGCTAGAGTATTCAAGTTGATGCTCATACTAAAAACTAAAACAATGAGATAAATTGTTTAAACACACACACACACATACACATTTTCTTAG